ACAACAACAACAACAACAACTCCCACTATCACGAACCCAAGCAATAACCCTCCTGGACTCCGTCCAACTCTTCCCCGTCTACGACTTCAACGCAGCCGCACAAGCAATACACGAAATCGCATCCACCATATCTTCAGCATCAACAGAAACAACACCACATCAACAACATATCATAATAATCACAGGCCTGGACACCCTAGCCAAGGGCGTAATACGTGCTTCGAACCCCCTTCGGGGATCAGCAATGCTCACGTCTGTATTACGTACACTAACGCAGTTGACTCGAACGCATGGGTCGAATCTCTCGGTGATGTTGGTGAATACTAGTGGACTGGGGAAGATGATGTCGACTCAGAGTCGGGGTGTGGGGGAGGAGGTAGATGCTAACGCTACGGGGGGAATGCTTGAAATGGATGATGGCGAGGGGATCCAGTCTGCGTTCCGTGCGCATAGTGGGGAGATGTTTCCGAGTTTGTTGATGAGGACGCTGGACCAGGGGATTGATTCGCATCTGTTGGTGTCGAGTATTGGGAGGGTTCCGGTTGTGGAGGTTATTAAGGATAGGGTGGGTGGGAATGTTGGGAGGTGGTGTGTTTGGGAGGGTGAGGTTTGATTGAACATGAATGGCTGGGTTTATAATTCGATGTGTGAGGTTTGATAGTTGCTATGCGCTGCAGGGCGTGCATGCCCTGATGTATGATTATTGCGACTTATGTAGATAGTAGTATTTCCTGCTTACTCCATTTGAATAATTCATTCCACTTGAAATCTCAAACAAACATAAACCCTTGACCCCGTCTATCATGCAAGTACTATGCACCAGTTCCAACTTTCCCCCTTAGCAGACCAAAATTGCCTTTCCGCGCTGACTAACTCCAGTTGTGAATCATGCTTTTTTCTCCAGATAAATAAATGATAATGATGATGATTATGAATGGGGGTATCAACCGAATCAAGTCAATTGTCAAATGCGACAAAGAATGAGAAATAGGAAGCGTCTGTATGTAATGTATGAGAGAGGAATGCTGGGAAGAAAGACAAGCACGTTGGTTTAACACCTGCCATGGTAATATTACATCACTGGCCACCAATTTGCGCATTGTCTGATTCGGCCCACATCCTAAGAACGGCCCTCTCAACGACATTCTTCGCTTCCTTCTCGCATTTGCTAAGATCCAAAGCGAGGGTGTTTTCCTCGAATACAGCATCTTGCTGTTGGACCTTGAGCCATTGTTTATGCCTCTCACAACGCTTCTTAGTACAAACACCACGTGAGAGTTTCTCGAAGTCGTCTTCGTTGTCGTCATCCATGGCGGTGTCGCCGTCGGCGTCCGTAGCAGCTTCGGGATAGCTTGATGCCAGGGCTTCGGGCGAGCCATCCTCGAGTGCTTTCGCGCCAATTTCGGATAACCGCCATTCGTCGAATTCTTCGTCCGACCATGCGAGTCTGCTGTCGAAACCGCAGATGTCTTTCCAACCACCCTTTGGGTCGGTTTGTTTTAGATGCTCCAGAATACTCTTGGATCGTTGGCGCACCAGTGTCATGAATGTGTTTCGGGCGCGGAGCATCTCTTTGCGATGGAGAAGGTCGTCCCGTTGCTTGCGGATCTTTTGTAGTTTGGATGCTTCGTCGGGAGTGTATGTGAGCCAGTCTACGTCGAAGTCCAGACCAATCTTCTTTCCCTCCTTGGTCTCGGCTTCCGGATCGGTGGTGGTAGTGGCGGTATTTTTGCTTTCCTCTTCGGCGGGAAGCGATATGATGCGTTCGCCTAGTTTGCGGAATTCTTTGGCGGAGCTGACGCCCATTACGACGGCTTTGAGATCGCCTGTTGTAAGGACTCCACCTCGGCTTCCTAGATCGTCCGGATCTCGCCTGTCTGGCGTAGCGGTCCCATCACGACTATTGCTTTCGCTCGAATTAATGCCATTGGTGGCTGCTCGGCCTGCTGCGGTTGTCTTTGCTTTCAGTCCCGTACCCAAGAGAAGCTTGGTTCGCTGAAGCATGAACTCCCGGCCATGCTCGTCTGAACAGTATTTGCTGGGGATTTTCTGGTTGACTCGGGCGGGCTTGCGGCATTCCTTTAGCCGGCACATAGGTTTCCATGTAGTCCATCCTTTGCCTTGCTCCTTGCAATTCGGGCCTGCAGAGTGTTAGTGCACGGGCATACGTTATGTGTGTAATGCCGAAGGAATGTCTTACAGATGTACTTGTCAATGAGGTCTGCATCTCTCGGGTCGATGTTGACGCATTTCCCGTGAAACCAATCCTCACACCCACCATCACAGCCAATCATCCACGTATGGTTGTCAGGTTTGCGGCAGATGCAAAATATTTCATCATTATCATCAGAGTCATCTTCCTCTTCTTCTTCTATATCATCTTGCTCAACGTTCTTGCTGCCTTTCCTTTTACTATCTGGGGCGGGTGAGTTGGTGTGCGAGGTGGAATTCCGCTTTTTGGTTGCGGGCTTGCCAGCACGAGTCGAAGACGGAGTGTTGGAACGACCACCATCAACAATATCGCTGTCCAATTCGTTTGCTTTCCTCTTTTTGGTCGTTGACTTTCGCCCAGTCCCTTTCTTGGTGGCAGCAGTAGCAGACTTCCGGGCCGGGCCAGGTTTCGTAGATGTGGCTGGCGAGGAGCGGTCAGAAGACGACGCTCTTGAGGATCCCCTATTCTTGAGACTCGCAATGTTCTTTGGAGTGAGGTGGTCCGCAGTCGGGCCGTCAAGTGAAGAAACCGGTGGCTTGGATTCCGACTCTTCGTTAAGCGGAACTTTATCCAGATTCGTGTTGAGGGGTTCGGTCTTGACAAGAGGGACAGGTGTGTCTTGCTTGCTCGTGGATCTAACTACTCCTGCGGCATCAAGTCCTTCATAGAGGTCAGACCACGCTCGCAGATCAGTAGCTTTGTCTCCATGTATGGCAGATGCCACCAGTATCCTAAAGCGTCGATGTATCTCATCCGCCCTTTCAAAGCCAAAGTACCCGCTCTGTCGCCAACCAGTTATTCCGATCACCTTATCATCGTTGATAACAACGTTCGACGGTACCAGGTTGTTGTGGACCAAACAGATATGTTCGTCCTCCTTCCTTTCACGAAACAGTATATTCTTCTCTGGCTCCAGGGCATCCGGTGACGCTTGTGAGTTGAGTCCACTGCAAACGTACGAAGGGCGGTCCGGGGGTGCATCTATCCCGCCAAGGCGCTGCGATATACGACGGCACTGCTGCTTGAACATATCGATCTGCTCAGCTGTGAGGTACCTCCAGGCTACCTCGAGAGTAACGCCAGGGATTCTAGATTCCACAGTGACATTCTTCCCATCTATTGTCCCGCAAAAGTATATGACCGGCACGGCGATGGACATCTCCTTGAGTGTATCCTCAGCCTTCCTTGCGGCACTCAATTCATTGGCGTTGGCACACGAGTACTTTTCGGCAGCAGCGCCAGTTGAAGGTTCACGATCAACGCGAATGACAACGCTGCCAGCAGCGAAGACCTCCCGGTTCCCCGAGGCATTCAGAGAATTCTCTGCCGTACAGAGCTCTTTCACAATGCCTTCCCAATATGAATTGACCTCTGGATCCGGTTCGCACCACTGATTGTATCGAGGTTTAAAATCAGATTCGCGAGGCGCGTAGCGGCCATAATGCACACTCCGGGCGAGGAATAGGTCGTCGCTGGGGAGGAGCTCGGGATTTGTTTCGTATGGGTTTGTCGACCCTTGATTGGTAACGCGACCATCCACCTGATTTTGATCACCAGACGCTTGCGTAGCTCCGGCCATCACTCCAACTCTTCCAGCGACCTTCTAAGGTCCAATCACACCCCTTCTGTGGGTAGCCAGCGTGTGCGTGCTCGGGCACAAAATCCTAGGGATATGTTGGCCTTCAAAATCCCGCAAACCGGCGATTCTGCAGACTGGCAATCTAGACGAAGAGTATGGTTCCGGTCGCATACAACTTCATACTATTAGTTTTGGAATGTGAGTCGATAGCTTCCACAGGCGGAAATTGGAAAGGCGACCGACGGGGAAGTCTTCTTTGTGGATTATCGATCGGTCGTTAAGGTCGCAATTGCGGCGGAGGCCGGAGAAAGATGCGAAACGGAGTGGGATGCGATCCCAAGTTAGTGTCTCTGTAAGCAGCGACGTCGTGTCAGAATCTGAGACCTGGGATCAGAAAGATTCTAGTAAATGATGAGTCTTTCCCCCAGTAGCTGGCTAGCGCAATAACTTGAAAGCTGTCAGTAATTATCCAAGCTGGGGGAAGCGCGCTCGGCGACGCGGAGATGGAAATCGGAGAGGATTTGGCAGCTTCTGCGTCGGATTTACGGTCAAGGCGGTGAGTCTTAACTCCGTCGAGTCTCCAAAACACTGCCTATCGCACGACAGATTACTACTATCCTTTAGGACATAGGAGAGGACTCTCGGAAGCATGATGCTGTGATGACCTTCTATTTTCCCTCTGCGGCACTATTGAAAGCCGTAAGGCCAGAGTTCGAGGCCTGTGCTTCAAAGCATTGCAGTGATGGGCGGCAGACACTTGCTCGCCATTCTTCTCATTCTGGAAAGTCAAGAGTCATGACAGAGCCACAAGAGGAAGCAGCAAAGCACGGCGACAGTGTTCTTATTCCATACACAAAAGGTAGGAAAGAGCGGTGCTGGTAGTGAAAGAGAATGTCAATTAGGAAGCCTGTTCGTATGATGGTATCTGTATCGCATGACTATAATGACCGCCTATGTTCCGCTGATATGTATTTACGATGATTCACTTCTACTACTACTGTTACTAACAATGGTGGTTGATTGACACCCAGAGACGCTATTCCAGCATCCATTGATCAAATCAATGTACAGCTAGTAGGTTCAAGGCCGCCCTCCTCAAATATGGACCCTCAATCCCCGATCATTCCTTTTCTACAATATACTTTGCAGAGCATCAAAATCTCCGCCATCACCGCCTACCACTTTCAATAATCACTATTACTTTTCATCATGGGGCCTCGTAAATGGCAAGACGAAAAACTATTTCTACAGTGTGCTTGCCCCGAGGGGTCTTGCGCTTCGCGTCTTGCGCACATGAACAATCTAACACAATGTGAACAGTGCTCGCATCCGATGAGCCTCCACCAAGATTACTGTTCGTTTCTTATACTCGTGATGTCCTTCAGCTAATCTGCGTCATAGCTACTTCCTCCAAATTCCCACGTCACAGATAACTGCACCTATAGGTATATAGTCTGCTTCAAAACTACTTGGCAAGATCATTGCTAATCTCCATAGATATCGGACCACATATCGTTCACCGGGATGGGTTGATCGAGGAGCTCATCGCTCGACTGAAAGCATTTCATATTGTTCGGGTGAGGGGGACTCCTGCTTCGGGTAAGACAACCATCGTGATTCTATTAGCCAACAAGCTACTTGACTGTGATTATAATACTTCTCTTTACGTCATGTCTGGTTGGGATGTAGATATGGTAACGAGAGCAAAGGGCTGGGCCGGTTATCTCGAGCAACGAACTGGTGTCCATGGCCGCTCCTGGTTGACACAACGAGGGTATCTCCTTATCGATGACGTCGCGCTATGGGCGGATCTGTTCAAAGCTGTTGACCCAACATCTCAACCTTACATTGTACTGTTCATGTCTTACGGCTCTCCAGATAGGGGCTTTTCGGGTTTCGAGCGAAAACATATGGCAACGCCAATTTTGTTGAGGGACAGTAAATATCACTTAGGCCCGATATCAATATCCAATCACCCTGGAAACCTGTGGGTTTTTTAATGGTGGGTAATGAAGCCATTCAAGTTATTGAAAAATGTGCGCCACAAGTCATACCAGATTGTGGGCCTCTTCTGACGCCAGATTTAGAGCAAGGCTTGTTCAAAAGCAGCAATGGACATGTAGGGCTCATTAAATCTCTGATTCTAGCTCTGAGGTCCCTACCGGTTAGTTTTATCCTAAAGTTGATGTTTCGCAGGTTTGTCTACTAAAATTAAGGCTGTCTACAACAGGTACTCTCCAAAGAAGTGCGAAAGCGCAGACCGCTAGGATGGCAAACAATCAGCACAGCCTTTTTCAGTGACCCAATGGGGTTTTTTTCGATGTCTTCGATGTCTCCTATTCTCCAGAGGTCTGCCCCCAGCACGGATCCTTCAAATACCTCATGTCGCCGCTGTTCTTAAAAAAGCCATTGCTTCTGATGGGATCCTCACATCCAGCTTCGTGGGTACACCTCAGGAGGCACAAGAAGGTCTCGAACATATCTTAGCCAACGGATGGCTTCATGCAGAGATTTGCGATAGAGGAGAGCGACACATATTCGCAAGTCAAATTCACCGTTGGTAGGTGGGGAGCCTATAGAGTACTTTGGGCTGCTTTCTAACCCGAGAGTCTAGGTATTGCCAGTGTCTTTTCTCCGAGAAACGCCTTAATAACCAACTTGGATACGACACTCCTTCACAGCTAGCGCTCGACGTTATCAGAGGATTCCAGCCATGTCAGCTAGCACATGCGCCTCGTTCATTAGCAGGTAGTTCCCGACCACTAGAAGACCAGTATCAGAAGGAGTTTTATCGCTATCTCTTCTCTTTACTGGATGGGCATGTTGTCGTGTCTCCCGAGTTCGTAATTCAGTCGGATATTAAAGGTGGAGCAATTGACTTCCTCATTACCCAGAAGAAGTGGGGATTGGAATTCATTGGAGAACGTGACCGGCTTCAAGAGCACATGGACAGGTTCAAGCCAAATGGACAATATTTCACTCTAATCGAAAAAGGCCGGATGGACCACTATATTGTTCTCGACTTCACCGCTACAATGCCTCGAAAACCCCATCCAGGTAGTTCCACCCTCGCCTTCTTATGACATAACTGACACATTTCCTAGAGTTCCAGAACCGTTTATACCACAATGTATTCTCGAAAACATATCGGGATGTCTCAGTGATTAATGGATGGAACCTTCGAGTAGTTGACGCCTTTGTCTTGATGGAGAATAGAAATTAGACGCTATGACTAGTAGCTAAAAAAGCTTTTGGAGCGTCATTCAGATTTTTTTTTAGCAGATCATAGCTTCATTTCTATGAGCCACACAGGGCAATGTCAAGCAGCATTGACGCGCTTTCCCAATCGATACGCTTTGCTTTACCAGTGTTTCACCGTCACCGTAGGGTACGTAGTATAGTACACAAGTATCCAACTCAACAAACCCAACTGCTCATCCAAAAGGTCAACTCCTCATGTGAGATCTCTACTTACTCATCTTTCCCATGCTAATATCGCTCCCTTTATACAGCTAGCAGGAGTTAGGGCAAGAGGGGTACAGAGACTCCTGCATAGCTACTAAAGGGAGACGCTACCGCCACACCAGCCAGGCTTCCTCCACACCAACCTGGCTCATGCCATACCCTACCACCTACCTCACAAGCTAAGACGCCTTACTTATGATGAAAGGCTCGCTTTGATAGCTGGCAAGTGTAATACCTCCATCCCGGTCGGGATATTCGACTGCCTGAGGTACTAACTACTGCCTCCAGGCAGTAGCATCTTCCCAGTACTTTCATGTTAAGAACACAGAAGGTATAAACTGCCACGCAATGAGCCATAAAGTGCTCATGGTGCGAAGGATACTGCTAGTGATAGAATGACGTCGATAGACAAGAAGTCTTTCGTGAGTTTCCGGACATCGTGGAGTTCACCGAAATTAGCGGCGCTAGCAGCCGCCCACCAACGAGCCCGGTTGAATGCTTAGGAGTTAGGTTCATGACCAAATTCAAGCCAGCTTCTGCACTTCGTGGATCGCGAATATATCCGCCCACCATCATTACTGCTGCCGTTCCTCCTCTCTAAAACAAGGTTTTAGGTTCTAAAGCCACACGCTATTATTATCTCTGGCCCCGAGACTACTTCCCAATCTCCTGCACCGCAGCCCCCCATTATTATCCCCCCTCCCTCCCCCCTGGTGCATTGGTGCCTCTTGGTTGGCACTGGAACAAGCAATCTGGCATCCAGGTCACCATGCTACTTTGAGATTTTGAATCCCTGATTCAAGGTTTTAGCTCCAAAGATGCTTATGATTAGGTGATTCGACTCAGTGGAGCAGCGCAGGCTTACTTCAGTCCCAGGATCCTGACAGTACTCTGCTCCCAGCATTTCACGCTCCTCATTACCTCATGGCCTAATAATATTTAACTTTTTCTTTGCTCTACATGTATCATCGCTATCAGATCCGTATGTGTTTGTGCCTCAACTTGTTCTCTCCGTTGTCCCTATAGGCTTGATGCTTTGAGCGTAGTTTTTCAAGTACTAACTTTTACTTCTAGTTCCATTTTAAATTCTGGCTTCGTTCTGATATCGCCAGTTGGCACGCTTTGTTTCAACTTCGACTTGGATGTCGGAAGTTGGCCGCTCGTTTTTATGTAACCGAAGACACACTGCCGGATACAGCTAGATTCCTTTATCGCACCATTGCCAAGGCAGCCGGCAATAACTTCAGTCGGTATCTGTTCGTGGATGCGCCTCGCTATCGCACTTTCTACAGGAGTTTCGTTACAGGGTCGAAAGCAGAGCGAGACGACTATCTGGCCAAGCACAGTAAAGGCTGCTGGTGTTTGGACAGTCTTTCACAGTTAATCAAGCTACCCCGCCATTGTGCCTATACAGCGAGAAGCCAACATCACTCCTGCAGGCCGAATGAGACACCAGCTATCGCATCGCTTAATGAAGGCTGACTACTAAGACCAAAGCACTTGCGCGGCACGAGATCATCGTGCATCTAACCTTCAATATGCCAGATGAACCAAGCAGTGCTAGTGGGAAGAAGTCCACAGAAGAGCCCCCACCAATACAGTGGCAATTTATCGATGCTTCTGACAACAGCAGGAGTACTTTAACTAAAGTAAAGCGTCATGTTATGCAGGAATATATGCGTCAAAAGCGACATGCAAGCGGGCAGTCTGGTGCTGAAATCGAAGAGGGTTCGTCGCAAGGAGCGAAGACACAGCAAGAAAGAGCCATTGGTCAGGTTACAAAAACGAGTGAAAACCAAACGGACAACACTCTAAATAGTGGAGCTCTGTATGGAACCGATGCTCTTGCGCAGGAGGATGTTCCCAAGCCGACACTCAATGACTTCGTAGCGCAACAAGAGTCGAGCGGGGCTATGAAAAACCATGCCACAGATGGCAGGATCATCTTAAGTTCCAGGCCTGCAGTTCGGCCATTCTTTGAAGGCATATCTTTCAGAAGCAAAACGAATTCGCCCAAGGCCTACTGCCTGTCTCAAAGCAGCATCTCCGACACCAGCACTCCAACGCCATCATCGTCTGCGCCAACAACACCAGATGATGTAGCGTTGTCACCAAAGACGATCCTGAGTGCTGCACGCACAGATCCATTCAACACTCTGCCTCTTGAACTAGACATCGAGGGTCAGAGACTGTTTGATTTCTATGTCAACGAAATGCCTGCTTGCTCATACGGAAACCACTTCCGGTCACCCAAGGCGCATAATTGGTACACAGCGGTATTTGTCCCTGAAGGCATGAAGGGACCTGTGGCATTTCAGAACACAATACTCGTTCATGCGGCCAGCACATGGGTCTGGGTTCGTAATGAGGAGCCAGACGCGGCAGCTCTCTATCATCGTGATCGTGCGATTACCATGCTACGAGAGTTGAGGGACAGGAACCCGGATGACATCTCCGATGAAGCGATAATAGGCTGTATAAGCGCTGCAGGCCTTGAAGACTTTGATCCTCGGCCTGGTCATAAGCAGATTAGCTGGCTTCATATGCGAGCGGCAAGGGAGATGATTCGCCTTCGTGGCGGGCCATCTGCCTTTCATAAGACACGGCTCGGAATGCTAATAAACTGGCAAGATTATATTCTTTCAGGCTATGAGACAGAGGGACCCAGCTTCTTCTTCGAATACAATCCTCCAGCCATGCTAAAGAGGCCAGTTCCCCAAGCTGAAGGGCTTGTGCGGAGTCAGCTGTCGCTTTCAGAGAATTCGTTCATCGAGCACATTATCGCCCAACACCCCATACCTCCCCCAGTGGATGAGATTGAAAATCAGTGCAGTGAGTTCATCAGCTTCCTCAAGCGCTGTGAGCAGCTCGCTATACACCAACGCACATCCACCAACTTAACCACGGCACCGATGCGTCACACGGCATTCCAGTCAACCTCATTGTTGTTTGAGATACTCGCAGCGCCTCCCGGGCTACGCTTTACAGCATCGGGTAACCGCAAGCAGTTTGTTGCACGGCTGGTTGCCTTGATCATGCTCAATGCTGGCTTGTGGGATTACCGGAACTCCGTTTCGCATAGTGAGGCCTTTCTCGGAAATTTGGAGCAGACTGTCCTGAACTGCGAAGTGAACATGAGCGGCTCAGTTGAAGCATTGCTGCAAATATTGCTCGCATGTGAGGATGGTTCGATTGAGATGCCTGAGTCAAGGCGTAATCCTGGAAATACACCCGATTTTACGCAATACTGCCCTACGGCTGAGACGCCTTACGATCGGCCATGGTTTGCAGGCCGAATGCTCAAAGTGGCCAAACGGCTCAGCTTTGATAGCTGGATGAACGTGAACTATTTTCTCTTCTCCTGTCTAACGTTACATACGGAAATACCTTCTGTCTCGCTTTGGGAAGATGGCTTACGGCAAGAGATTCTTAGTGCGCCTCTCACTAATTACGTTATGCCAGCTCTCCAAGGCCTGTAGTTTTGTCGGGCTTTATCGCTCGGGGCATGGAACCTGCATATACAGCACTGCAGTTTTGAGACTTGTTTCCATACCTCTCATCTTTTCCTCCCTCTTTTCACATGTCTTCTTCGTGTGCACGTGGAAACGAATCTAATTGTAACGTTAAATTTCATGTCTCTTTGGCAATCTTCTTGGTGTTGGTGTTTTATATATCCGCGATGAGACATGACAGTATATGATACCTTTCATTTCAACTGATTTCTAATTTCGTGATCTGCTTGTTCTGTTTTGTGATCGCCCAATTGCCTTCTTGAATTAATTACATTGTATTATTTCTGGTGACATCAAGTCATAAGCTCATCTATATACTGTATGATGTGATTCCTTGGAGGTGGCAGAAACATTGTGTTCTGCTCAGTTTATGGAAGTATCCTTATCTCTTGAATTTGACATTGAAATGTGAGGTTTGTCTGCATCATATGCGGGCCTCGAAGTTTCTGGAGTGAAGAGACGGTCAATTTCCTCGAGCGACTTGCCGGCCGTCTCCGGATACAAGGCCCAGACGAGACCCGCCGCAACCCAGTTGAAGGCCGCGAAACAGTAGAAGTATTTGAAGTGAATTTGCGACTGGGCCATCGGCGAACATTGAGCAAAAACCAAATTCAGACTCCAATTGGTGGCGGTGGCTACAGAAGAGCCTCGGGCGCGAATGGCAGTGGGGAAAATCTCGGATTGATAGATCCAAGAGATGAGCCCGAGACTAGTATAAAAGAACGAGAAAACGAAGAAAACAGCGATTGCAGCACGAACGGCACTGTGTTTCGGTGACGCCACGCTTTCAAAGTTATTATACACTTGCCCCAGGATAGCCTCCACGCACATGGTGGCGCCCATACCCAGCAACGACGGAATGAGAAGCTTGCGACGGTCGACCCGATCAATGAAGAGTATGAATACGGTGTTCCAAAACTGGGCCAATGCACCCCAGATGCCCTGCATGATGAGCGAAGTGGATTGCGACAAGCCCAAGGAGCGATATAGACCAGGATTATAGTTCTGGAGCACATTCGTGCCCGAGCATTGTGTAAAAGCCTGCATGCCACAGGCAAGCAGCACACGCTTGCGCCAATTAGGCTGTGTGAACAGAAGCTGTCGCCATGAGTGGTTGGCTGAATGCCGGGCCTCCGCAATACCCGCGGAGATTCGCTCAAATTCCGCGTCGACTGGTAGAGCGTTCGGCTGACCCTTAGGTAGATGGAGGCGGTTCAGAACCGCCCGACCAGCATCTGGATCGCCCTTTTCTATAAGCCAACGAGGTGATTCAGGGAGAAACCAGACGCCACAGCTAAGAATCACGGCGGGGACTGCTTGAAATGCCAAGGGGAAACTCCAACTGAAATTTCCCGTACGGAGAGAGCAGGCATATCCCACCCATTGCTAAAGGCGATTAGTCAGGGATAGAGGGCGAACTAGTTGACTAGTCGACTAGCTGAACAGGGGTATAGTAGATAGATAAATCACTCACAGCTACAACAACTCCGAGCCCAATCATCCATTGCTGCAGTGAACCTAGGAAGCCACGAATACGGGGAGGAGATAGCTCACTCTGAAAGTACGGTCAGAGTCCGCTGCAATATGAAAAACCCCAGAGATGCGTTATAGCGATACATACACAATATACTGGGATAATGGCAGACATCAAGCCAATAGCAAGACCAGCGATTAAACGGCCTGCAATGAGCATGGACACGTTGACAGCGCCAGCCTGCAACGCGGCCCCAAGGCTAGCGAGGAGGCCGCCGGTGAAGAGAACAGGCCTTCGCCCCCAAGGGTCAGAGAGGTAGGAGACCAAGACCGAGCCTAGAATGGCACCGCCTGCAGAATGTCAGCCGGAGATGAAATGCGACGAAGTGGTGATCGGCGCGGGTGTCCGAACCATTATAGGATGCAACGATACCCCCTGTCGCTGCATCAGAAGGATTGTGGAAGCGATATTTGAAGGAATCCTGGTCGATAACAGAGGATATAACCCCGGAGTCATACCCAAATAAAAAGGAGCCTAGACTGGCGAACAAACAACAGAGAGTAACGAGAAGATAGGGCATCGTTCACCTCCTCTCCCAGTGCTTGAATTGTGTGTGGGGGAGGATGCGACGGCTCCTTTATCTCTTCCCGGTCGCTAGTAGTTGCCCATGAAGATATTTTTAAGTGTCTATCTAATCTTGGCGGAGATTTAGTGGCGCAGCGCGATACCGTTGTGTGCTATAGGCATGGCAGTATGCTACTTTATAGTATTACTAACTGGAGCTGCAACCAAGTTAGGAACAATGCAGAGCTGATGTTGTACAACAACGCTGTAACAAGACACACGTGCGCAAGGGCTCTAGAAAGAATAGGAAGGCGAGCAGAAGACTTAAGGTCACATTGAAATGGTCGGTACAGCTAGGGACTAGACACGAGTGGATTCAGGGGGACACACACAAGAAAACAGGATTCCGTCAGCTTTGATGGATGACTGGACTGCAGCATTGGTCCTCTCAAAGCCAAGGGAAGAACTAACGCCGGTTAGGGTCTTCGAGTTCATCCAATCCATCACCGAAGATGCGACCCCCACCGGGGATGTTGTTTAACTTATTGTTTCTCATCGATGTTGCTGCAGGTTCCATGGATCAGGGTACCCATCGAGAATGATCGAATCAGCGATATCACCGTGGGTTCTGAGGCTTGTTTCTGCAACCGAGGCAGTCATCGGCCGGTTTGGCCAATACGCCGAGCTACTGCTGCTACCACTATTACTACTACTAAGCCGCTTTCCCAGCTAGTCCAATGGAGTTTGTAGGAAAAGGGAAAATTTTTGTATCGGAGGTCCGACGCAGCGGCATCGTCACGGGCACAAGAGCAGGCTCAAGTTGCGCTTCCAGCCGCTTGTCACTGCCGGTTGGCTCTAGTCAGCCCTACTTGTGAGCGATTTTTTGTTAAATCTGCATTTACACTTTGTCTTACTTTCTCTCTCTCACACAGATGATTCATACTCGGACTTGATCGGAATAGGAAATTCTTGGACCATATCTGAGCATCTTTTCGCGCGAGATCTCTCTCTTGTGCTGATCCCCTAGTGCATATATATCTTTTTCTTTTTTTTCGCACTTGCCCTGGTGCCGTTGTTAAAATCCCCCCAATCGGAAACAGGGTCTGGGCCACACCATCACCTCGCATCGGTGGATCTGCCCGTCTTGTCCGTCTTCGTCCCCATCCATTCATTCCTTTTCCATCATCGCTCTTCTACGCTCATCACCACTACGACTTACTCGAGTCCTTTCCTCGACTTTCCACTTGCTGGCTTGTGGGCTTGAGCTTGTTTAACTTAACTTTGATTTTTCTTTCTTTTTTTTTTTTTCTTCTTTTCTCCGATTTGGAGAAAGCATTCTGTATATTCCCCCCTACCCTAGTCTTGCAAAATCCTCCGTACTATCTGCTTTTGAACTGCTTCCCCCCCATTTCCGCCTTCTTCCCCTCTTCCCCTCGTACTTTGTACACGCGGACAAGAAAAGCCTGAACAGCCATCCCCAGTCTTCCCAATTGTGTTTGGGCCTGGTGTTGCGCATTAGATCTCTTTATTCTTGCCCGTCCTGGTTACTATTTCCGTGCGACTGGGAGTGGATCACCGTCTTGACTCACGAAAGTTCTTGCAACGCAATTCTGACTAATTCGGGGCCTACTCCAGTCTCCAGAACATTTCCGTCATCTCCAAGGAACTCCCGTTCCAAAGCCACCAACAGCATAACAAGAGGCAAAAACATTTAACTACTCAAAAATAGCGAAGAATAGCCCATCAACGGCCAGAGCGACCTCAGCCGAACACACCCTCTTCCATTAACTCTTCCTGGACTTCAAGTTTGGTTCCCTGCGATCAATCCCTCCAGCTAACTGCAATCCTCGCCGTGCCTTCCATGAACCTGTGAGAAGCGTCATTTCTACCCTCGTGGAGATTGCGATAACGGTCGGATCGCCACGCGGGCTATTTCTCCTTGCTGATCGGATTAGTCTCCTGTCGACTATCGTACATCAACCCATCAATCAGTTCCACATCCTCCTCATACCCCCTTGCATGCCATTGCGCCGACCGCCTTGAGATCGCTCCTGCTGCCCCCTCCGCTCCTCTCATGGCTTCCGCTCCCAGTCCGGCGCATGCCGAAAATGCGAACGAGGATGATCCCTCAGCCGCTTCCGACTCTTTCTTCTATGCCCACGAAGATCACGATGCCTCCCCCGGCCATGATTTGATGATGAAGGATGATGCGCTGGGCGATGGCAAGCCTGTGAAGGACTCCCTCCCCTTGCAGAAGAGGCGTCGTGTGACGCGCGCTTGCGATGAATGTCGTCGCAAGAAGATCAAGTGCGATGGGAAGCAGCCGTGCACTCATTGCACCGTCTACAGTTATGGTGAGTTGTCATTACCCCGATTGTCTGCTTGTTGCCGTCAATTCATGCTCACGGAAATCGCACCATAGAATGCACGTATGATCAACCGTCTAACCGTCGTCGCAACCCCGCCCCTCAATATGTCGAAGCTCTAGAAAATCGTTTACACAAGGCGGAGGCCTTGCTCCGCGTTGTGCTCCCCGATCTGAACCTGGACGACCCCCAATTCGATGTGCATGCCACAGAGCAGATGCTGGCAGCCATCAAGCGAGAAAAACAACAATCCCAGCAACCACCACCAGCGGCATCGCTCGCGACTCCCAGCGAGCGGCGCCGAAGTTCGGTTGTCATGACGGGCACCGACTCAGCAGCGGATGCGAATGGAGGGGACGAGTCGCTCCTCGAGTCGATGGTCGACAATTCTGGCTATTTAGATCTGGACGATCAGGGCCACTGGGACTACCACGGTCACAGCTCGGGCCTGAGCTTCATCCGCCGATTGCGCAAGCAGCTTGGTGCTTACGACATACAGCCGCCGACGATCCGGTCGCGACCGGTCACCCAATCCAAGTTTGACAGCCCTAAATCGATATCGGAATCACCGCAGGATGCGCCATTGCCCCCCACTCATGACCTGCCCTCACGGGAAGTCGCACGACGTCTGTGTCACAGTGCATTTGATGATGGCTGCGCACTGATGCGCTTCGCGCACGAACCCTCATTCTTCGCCATGTTCGATCGAGTGTACGATACTTCGCCTGATCAGTTCACCAACGAAGAAAACTCGTTCCTGCCGCTACTCTACATTGTTATTGCGGTCGGCTGTCTGTTCTCTGACGGTGGGGCAAATCCTCTTGATGTTGCTGGATATGAAGGTGCGATTGGTCAAGGGTAAGTCACTCATGTCTTTCTCATGGCCCAACAAGGGCCATCTGAACTGCAATAAGCTAACTCATCCTAGCTTTCAATACTTCAAAGCAGGTCAACAGCTATTGGAGATCACTGATTGCCGTGATTTAACCTCCCTGCAGGCGATTTGTTTCATGGTGCTCTTCCTACAGGCCTCTGCCAAGCTGAGTACTTGCTATTCCTACGTGGGTATTGCCCTCCGGTCCGCCTTGCGACTCGGCTTGCATCGCAAAGTGACGGCGCATTTCAGCCCGCTAGAGCAGGAGCTGCGGAAACGTGTCTTCTGGGTCATCAGAAAGATGGACGTCTACGTGAGCACGATGCTGGGTCTTCCTCTGATGTTGAGCGACGACGACATTGATCAGGAATTCCCGGCCTCGGTTGATTCCGAGTTCATTACTAAGGATGGCATTCTGCCTATGCCCTCCGATCACATACCTCTTATGGCCGGAGCTAATGCGCATACGCGCTTGTCCAGTATTATCCTCAAAGTGGTGAAGTACATCTACCCAGTGAAGAACGCTCAGCATCGGGCTGGATCGGATCAACGCTATGTGGTGAGCCATTCTAAGATTCGGGAGATTGAAAGAGATCTTCAGGCTTGGATGGAGGAGTTGCCAGCGGCACTGCGTCCGGGAACGGAGGTCTCTCCGCAAGTAGAGCGGTATGTCTTCTGGAGTTGATTTGGCAGCGATCTTTTCTAATTGTGCTGCAGGATCCGACAATTGCTGCGTATTAGCTACGCCCACGTTCAAGTGATGCTATACCGACCCTTCCTACACTACGTCTCCAGCGGCTCGCAGGCTCGTGGGGTGGACCGTCGTTCTTACGCTTGTGCAGCGGCGTGTGTCAGTGTTTCTCGCAACATTGTCCACATCACGACTGGCATGCACAAGAGAGGACTCCTAAATGGCTCTTTCTGGTTCACTATGTATACCACGTATTTCGCTATTTTGTCACTCCTGTTTTTCGTACTTGAGAATCCCGACTCTCCAACGGCGAAAGACGGTGTTCTCAAGGACGCCATGGAGGGTAAGACCACACTTGCTGGCCTGGCAAAGAAGAGCATGGCAGCGGATCGTTGCTCCCAGAGTCTAGTCTGCTTGTTCAAAAACCTTCCTGAGCTGCTCAAGAACCGGCAAAGTGCGACCGCCCGTGCGAACCTCAAACGTCCGGCGCCTTCCAGCAGCAGTCGAGCGTCGGCCAATAAAAGCTCAACCATGCCCTCGGGGATGCCGCCGCCGCAGCGGGCCAGCACCTTCCCTAATCAGCTGCTACATCGGTCGACCAAGTCGGAGGCCAGTAATACGCCGAAGAGCCTAGATGATAGCGCTGCAACACGCAATGTTGCAACCAACCCCCGTCATAGTCAGCCTCCGACGTGGTTTCCATCCACCCCGGAGCCTCCGGCTGAAGCGGTGTCAACGCCTTCGGAGACTGCGACCAATAGTGTCTCAACCCGAGCGTCACCTGTTTCGACGTCATTGCAATCCGGAGACTCGGGCGCAAATGCATTTAACGCACAGGCCTTTGGGAACCCCGGTAATTTCCCCGATCTCATGCCTATCATGTTCCCCTCGGACGATCCGTTTGCCTATCCGACGCAACCGATGTCGACACTGGAAAACGACCATTTCCAAGATGTGACCGGTGCGCCAGTCACCACTCAGTATGCATCGGGAATGGCATCCACAGCCGATCCCAACGGTGTCAGCACACTCGCGGCCTCCTCACCCGCCGTAGATGGTTTTGCAAATTTCTCACTCTTTTCCGGTGCACCTGGCGGCCTCAACAACAGCATCTCAAGCCGCCTAGCAAACCACCAATCAATGAATGCATCTCAGCTACAGTCACCCGCCTCCCACGCCTCAACTCCCATCAACAGCGGCGAGGCCGTCAACAGCCCCGACCTAGTCTCCTTGCCTAACCAGAACTTCCTATGGCAAGGATATAATTTCCAGCCACAGAACTTCACTGCGGAGACAACTGTTCCCCCTACGGCCGCAAACCTCGGACAGTTCGGCTTAGGTACGGACGATAATAATGCCCCGGGATTGGGCATGGGGTTGGACCTGGGTCTTCCGTTGGACGATATTTTTGGAAATGGAGATGCGTGCCGCCCAGGCGGATTAGGCGATGATTGGACGCAATGGATGAATGTTGGAGGCTAAATGATAAAAAAAATGTTATATACCCATGTGTATGCGTTTGGTTTTTGACTATGAGGCTCATGTGATGAGGGATGGCGTATGGATGGCGTTGGAAAGGCATATGTTACATAATGCTATTTCTAATGAATTATTTCTTGTGACTTGTCTAATTTCATGCTGCTAGTGGCTGTCTATATACCTACGAGCTATATATCGTTCCACGGTACGACTAAGTAGAATACCCAACACAGATCATACATAATATACAAATCCAGGCGTTCTATCCAATATACCCAAAAGTTCAATACGATCACCGAACTTACCTCCTCCCCCTAGACGGCGGCTGATACCAACTCCAAATATTCAACCCCACCTTCATCCCCTGAGTGACCGGAAACGCAGCATGCCATGTCTCCGGATACCCCGTCCCATCAGACCTCAGATTCTCCCAGAAGATGGCATTCCCCCTGATAGGCTTGAAAGTGATCCCAGACACATTCTCATTCTGAGCCATCTCGCAGTCCAGGAACCGACACCACTGTTCCCCGCGCGGCATCTTCAGACGGGGAAAATTCGTGCCCCCGCCTTCGCAGTCATCGCCTAGGTATACCATGAAGGTGCTGAGTCTGTCGCCGCCGCGGGCGACGGAACCGGCCCAGTCGAAGTGGTGCTTGTAGTGGCCGGAGACGTTGTAGCGTTGGGCCCACATGCGCTCGATGTAGAGGTGTGGTTTCCAGCCTTGAAAGGCGGCGGCGCGGGATTCGAGGCACCGGACGGTGTTGTCGCGGGGGAGGAGGGCGCGGTCGGAGAGTCGGGTTGAGGGATCGACTTTGGTGGTTTGGCCGTTGTAGATTATTGAGGGGGAGTAGTTTGGTTCACTTTATTTGGTTTGACGTTGTTTTGTTAGGTTTGTTTTATTTGAAATGGGGCTGTGGGGAATGCCAATTGTCTTGGACGACGTACCTTATCTTTACTAGGTGATCGGCTTCGGAGGTGGAGAGGAAATCTTCAATGTAGATGATTAGCGGGTCCTTGGAGAGGAGGTGGACTCGGTAGGTGTCTTCGGGACATGTTGGGATGATTCCGTCCGGGAGGCTGAGAATCTCGGGGTCCAGTGAGATGTCGCTTTCTGTTGTTGCGTCGATGTCTGGGTCGAAGATGTCCTGGGTTACCGGGAAGAGTTGGCGCAGGAGGGGAGCGATGACGAAGAGGTAGAGTGGAAGGAGGTAGAAGAGGGAGGTGAGGAGGGTGGAGAGGGAAAGTTTGGGCATATTGGTCAATTGGTCCGACGCATTGGTCGTGGTGATTTTGGTGTGACCTGGGGATCGTAACGGGCAGGGGATAAGGATAGGGATAGTCTGGATGGATGGTCTGATCGCGGATTGATTGATATGATTGTGTTTCGCTGGTGATCGGATGTGCCGGGGAGCTTAATTCCGGTTAGTCAGCTATGCATATGCAGCGCGGCATTATCATGTTAGTGCGCATGTGACAGGTGTGTATGTTGGATATCTCATTCTCCGGCATGTCCGGGATGCGGGGAATCGTTGGCCCCTGGTCAGAGGAGCGTTTGTCAGCGGTCTGACTGTTATCAGGCGTCACTATAATGTTAGTGCCTAGCCATCTGGTCATGACCGTTTGGTCTGTGTCTCTTTACCCGGCGGACTATCGAGGACGATCCGGGTGCGCATTGCCCACCACGTTGGAATGTCAAGTTAGTCCGCCAGAAATTGCGTCATGGCACACGTAGTCGCAAGAAAGAGTTCCAGGATCATCCCTTTAGCATCATAATGCGGCGAGGCTTGCGATAATAAATGAGCCAGATGCGGAGACTCCGCATTTGGGCTTCCAGAAGACGCGGAGTAACGTTCATGAGCCGAGCTGTAGGGGTCTTTGGGTCGAAAGCGAATCCCCGCCGTGTAAAGGGACACCCGGTCAGCTGACAGCTATACCTCTTCGGGCTAGCGCTACCGCTAAGCCTGCAGGCAGCCTAGTGTGCCACCCGTGACCAGACATCGTGTGGATTTCCCGCATGGGTTTAGACTCGCCTACTTTACTTTGTTATCTTGAGTGGTCGCCTCACCTCGCCGTCGCCTCCTCTGCTCCAACGCTTACGATAACTAGCGCTTGATATGCAGGTCTTCCCCATCCCCATCCCCGGTGAGCCGGGGTAAAGCTTTCCAGTCGGCCCTAGACGTCCTCTACCCGTTCATCTGACTCCGATCTACGGCGTACTTAGTCTAGATCTGCACCAATCTTTACACGTCTCGGCTATCCTCCGGCCCTAATCTCCACCAGGATTGGGTTTAAGGCATCTTCCAACCTCTCTGACTGGTCTTACCTGACTCCATGAGAGCCACGAGTCCCATTATCCCATGACAACCTTGACTAACATGCTGGACAAATGCCGGCTAAAGCTTTTCGGGTATCCCAAAGCCTCCGGCCTCTCGCTTAAGCTTGTGGAACCTGGAAACCGATTTCCTTGGTTCTCAACAGAATCATCTTCCATCTGGTTCGTCCGGGTGCCGACCTGAACCGGGAGAAAGAATGTGCTGTCCAGGGCGGCGATCTGTCGGGTCGCCAATACCCCTTCACGCCTCAGCTCCAAGCTTTGCTCAGCATTTGGTTGGACACTTCAGGTGGCCCACCGGCAAATTCTTCACAACCTATTTTCAAAATGGGTAAACTAAACCACAGGCGCAACGGGGCATCAGGTCGTGGAACTGCTCTTCTCCCCCACCCACTGGGGTATACATTTTGTTATATACACACTGACTCGGATAAACGCCTTAGCTAGCTGGGGGGATACGGCCCTTATATACTTCCTGCGTTTTGGCCCCTGATCTGCGGCTGAATGTTTCCTGGCGAGACCTTCTCCGCGCCGGCTAAGCGAGACTCAACGTCTGGGGAAAACACTCCCCCGACCCATTCTCCCACATCACGGGGGCAAAAATTGTGGGAATCTTTCTGCATAGTCCGAAGATTAAGTACCTCTAGCTGCATTTTCGGCGTATCACAGCCTCGCTATTCTGTATCTCCAGAATGGTCCTCCCCGGATGGGGTTTGGCCACGACGTAGATTGTGGAGAGCGTTCGAGGCAGGGGAGAAATCCGTATCCACATTCTGGCTGCTCCGTAGAACTTGTAGGAATCCGAAGATATTACTTATGGCCCGGCCCGTCTCTGCCTGTCCTCTCTTTCTTCTTTTTTTTCCCATCCATCTTTCCTGTTGACAGGACATCCCCTTTTATATTCTTCTTTTGTCCTTGTCCTTGTTCGTTCCCCTGTTGACAGGATTTTTCACGATCATCAGAGTTTTCTCCCTCTCGTCCTTCCTCCCCCTCCCTCTTCTCCCATACAATGGGTGGAATTCTTCACCTCGTTGAGGACCGTCCGACTCCCAAAAATGTCTACAATTGGCGAGTCTATGTGCTCGCCCTCATTGCCTCATGTGGTTCCAACATGATTGGGTATACCAGTGGGTTCATCGGGACGACCATCACTCTGCCTTCCTTTGAAGCCGAGTTCGGGTTGGACAAGATGAGTGATTCGGCCGTGGATCTGATTAGTGAAAATATTGTCTCTTTGTTCATTGCTGGTGCTTTCTTCGGAGCTCTGCTCACTTATGGAATTTCGCACTTCTTTGGACGTAAATGGAGTTTGACCATCTCTTCGGCTGTCTTCATTCTCGGTGCCGGGTTGCAGATGGGAGCCAACGGCTCTCGTGGGCTCGGCATCTTGTACGCTGGCCGTGTCCTTTCCGGTCTCGGCACGGGTGTGGCATCCAACGTCGTCCCGATTTACCTCTCAGAGCTGGCCCCTCCGGCCATCAGAGGCCGACTGGTCGGTTTCTATGAACTTGGCTGGCAGGTTGGTGGCATGGTTGGTTTTTGGATCAACGTAAGTGACTTCCCATGTTTTTCTTACCCCACTTCTTAAATTCCTCCATCTATCCCTAATATTGCCCTTCTTTTTTCGTCACGTGCCATGCTGATAACCGTTTTCATAGTATGGTGTTGAACAAACTTTGCCCTCAGACCACAAGCAATGGGTCATTCCCTTTGCTGTTCAATTGATCCCGTCGGGTATGCTCTTCCTCGGCTCCCTGTGGATGAGGGAATCACCTCGTTGGCTATTCCTCAAGGGACGTCGCGAGCAAGCCATGAAGAACCTCTGCTGGATTCGTCAACTCGATGAAACCGATATTTACATCACCGAGGAGGTGGCTACTGTTGACCAAGCCATCGAGGAGCAGGTTGCTACTGTTGGTCTGGGCTTCTGGAAGCCCTTCAGGGCTGTCTTCCAGGCGCCTAGCTTGCAGTACCGCCTCTTCCTGGGTTGCATGTTGTTCTTCTGGCAGAACGCGTCCGGCATCAACGCCATCAACTACTACAGCCCGACTATCTTCGCCAGTCTTGGTGTTACTGGCAACACGAAGGGTATTCTCAACGGTATCTTCGGTGTCGTCAAGGCTGTCTTCACCGTTATCTGGTTGCTCTTCCTGGTTGATCAATTCGGACGTCGGAAACTTCTCCTGTGTGGTGCCGTCTGCGGATCCGCGTGCATGTACGCTATTGGTGCCTACATTTACATTGTCCGTCCGACGGAACACCCCCAGGACCACCTGAATGGCGGAGGCATTGCTGCCATCTTCTTCTTCTACCTGTGGACTGCTGTCTACACCCCCACCTGGAACGGTACCCCGTGGGTCATCAACTCGGTAAGTTCCCTCCACTCCAATCAAGCGAAGTCCCTTCTGAACACCTTGCTAACTGTTCGTGAATAGGAATTCTTCGATCCCAACATCCGTCCGTTGTCTCAGGCCTGCACCACGGCCAGCAACTGGCTCTTCAACTTCCTCGTCTCTCGCTTCACCGAGCAGATGTTCGCCGCGATGAGCTACGGCGTGTACTTCTTCTTCGCATCGCTGTCCTTCTTTGCCTGGTTCTTCGCCTTCTTCCTCATCCCCGAGTCCAGTGGTATCCCACTGGAGGCGGTCGACCAGCTCTTCAAGATCAAGCCGATCTGGAAGGCGAACGAGAAACTCAAGGAGCAGCTGAGAGAAGAAGAGGAACGGTTCCGTCACGAGATGAAGGATGGAGCGTTCGAGAAGAACGACCCTCAGGAGCATGTCGAGACCGCTTAATTATTTGGCTTATTTTATGGTTTTATACGGACATAGACTTTGTAAATAGATTTCAGGAGTTGATATACATACATCGGATCAGGCTTTGACCTGCTGGCAGAACTACCGAATTCGTTTCTCTTCCCTGCATGTGACTTGGTTTCAGCGTAACATAGATGCCTAGTTTCTCGCCGATCTTGCCGTCCCCGACACAGGTCGAATCACTAGTAGGTATTTTATTTAGAAAGAACTGGCAGCCTCGTTCGATTCCCCCTTCGAAAAGAGGAAACGGAGGCCCGGCACGCCAGCCTTCCACCACCGTTTACCCAGCACGTCAGTCACCCGCTGCATCTTTGTGCAATCTGTACGACCTGTGCAACCCAGCTGAACCCGAACTCTGAAATATGGAGCACACATGCAGGGTAGTATGTAAAATTATGAAGTTGCATCATCATGCCCGGAGGAAATCTGGAGAGAAGAAATATATTCCTCCAGTCTGCAGCATCGATGCATATTCCAGAAGCAGCAAGGCAAAGGTAAGCACCACAACCGTCGCGTGGGATTGTCTGTGGGTCTTGGCGCTTACATGCGGACATCGTTTAAGCTACTAAAATATTAAGTCTACTGGTATGTGTCCTTTTCGAACAACCAGACACACAAAGAACCACGGGGAAACTTTGTTTGACAGGGATGTCCCCCTCCCCAACCTTTCCTATTCGTGCTCCGCGCCAGAAAGACCCGATGGATACCGTCTTACATGCCAAGGGAGGGGCCATTCTGACTAAGAGGAAACCTGACCAACTCAGGCATCGTACCACGGTCAGATGTGACCTTCCAAGACTTCATCCACGGAGCGGGAAAGGTGCCAAGAGGGGGAGGAGGGCAAAAAAGAGAAGAACGTGAAGAAGCGGGTGGAGGAGATTTATTGGCATTGCAAGGCAATGTGGCAGTTCCTCCGAGCAGAAAGACGAAGTCCACCACATGGTCTGTTACCGATCCATGTGCCTGAAAATTGAGGAAAAGACGGGCAAGAGAGTGAGACATTTGGAATGCCATGATGTGGGATGACTAACAAAAGATTTCCAAAAATGCAATCGGTCGGCGCGGGGTTTTTGAGTGGATGACAGGGGATAGTTGGTGTATAATTACCGTATTGAGACGGTCGCTAACTATTACTAGTAATAAGCCCACTGCGTTATTTGACGGCCTGTTATTGCACTACTAGTGAGACTAGTAGGTGACTGACTGGGGTTGTGTGAGGGGAACCATGCGCTCTGTGTGCAGGTACTTTTACTTGCAATAACTTTTCACTTTGTGGATATATTAAGTATTAAGATGGGTGGACTGACTTGTAGAGCAAATAACAGCCATTTGTAGTGGTCGCAGTAATAGCAGCCGAAGTTGAAGAGTCACAAAAGGGTAGGCAGACATTTACACACACGCCACCAGCCCCGCACGGCCTCTTGGCCCGGCCGGCGCCCAGGCCTCCAGGCTTGTCGCGTCTTGTCATCCTGGCCAGTCTTGTCCCCGTCTTCCGCCCGGCTGTGCAAGCGGCCTTTTCTAGGCAAGGCTCGGCTCTGAACCCAAGCCTCCCCCTCTCGGCCCAAGACTTCCTCCCTTCCCCTACTACCCCCCTGATTCTCTGCTGTTCCTCTTCCTCTGGTCCGGCAATCTGTTAGTTTCCCTTATTACTTTCACATCCCCCCCCCCTATTTCTCTTTGCTCATATTTGCCATTTGTGTTTCGTGATCTTAACAACAACTTTGCTGTCCTTTTCTTTCCTCTTTCCTCCTCCTGGCCAATTCCAATTCCCTCCCTTTTCCAGATATCCGGTGTCGGTGTGCGCATCTGTCCATTTTCTTGTCCGCCACTCCCTCACCGCGCCATCTGTTGTATTCGATCCTCTTGTTTTCCCTTTATTAGCACCAAGAGTCTTGGGTCCCCCCATCTTTTCTTCCCCTTGCACGCTTGAGGCGGACTTGTGTTGAGTTGCTTTCTACTTCCGCTGCTCCCAAGAAAGGGACAAGAAAGATTTTTCTTGGCAATGTCGGAACCCCAAGACACCACGACGGCCCCTTCGACGACGGCCGCTCCCATGCCTACCTCAACTTCCCAGGATTCTCCTTCAGCTCAGCAACCTGCTCAGGTATCCTCTGCGACGGCTGCTTCTGCGGCCGCGACGGCTGCGGCTGCCTCGGCTGCCGTGGCAAATCCCCCCATGAACGGCACCACCACTCGTCCTTCTGAGGAGTTGTCCTGCCTGTGGCAGGGTTGCTCGGAGAAGTGCCCTTCCCCTGAAGCTCTTTATGTGAGTTCTCCCGTTTTTCTATTCTGTATGTCTACTGTGATGATACAGTCCACTAGCAGTGGGCTACGTGTTGGCTTGACTCATCACATTCTCGTTTGGATGGGGTAGCTGACCGCCTCGGCTTAGGAACATGTGTGCGAGCGTCACGTCGGCCGCAAGAGCACAAACAACCTCAACCTGACCTGCCAATGGGGCAGCTGTCGCACTACCACTGTCAAGCGCGACCACATCACCTCTCATATCCGCGTGCATGTACCGCTTAAACCACACAAGTGTGATTTCTGCGGGAAAGCCTTCAAGCGCCCCCAGGATTTGAAGAAGCACGTCAAGACCCATGCCGACGATTCAGTTCTGGTCCGGTCGCCGGAGCCTGGTGCCCGGAATCCGGACATGATGTTCGGTGGAGGTGCCAAGGGTAAGCGTTTCCCAGTCTGACTGTTCCGCACTGCCGGCTGACACGAGATATAGGCTATGCGACCGCTACGCACTATTTTGAGCCCGCGTTGAACGCGGTCCCCAGCCAGGGCTATGCGCATGGCGCTCCCCAGTATTACCAATCGCACCCTCCCCCTCAGCCTGCCAACCCGTCCTACGGAAATGTCTACTACGCCCTGAATCACGGCCCAGAGGCTACCCACGCTTCTTATGAATCCAAGAAGCGCGGCTACGATGCCCTGAATGAATTCTTTGGCGACCTGAAACGGCGTCAGTTCGACCCGAACTCCTATGCTGCTGTCGGCCAGCGTCTGCTCGGCTTGCAGAGCTTGTCGCTCCCTGTGCTGAGCAGCGGGCCCCTGCCTGAGTACCAGCCGATGCCTGCGCCAGTGGCCGTTGGTGGTGGCGGATACAGCCCCGGGGGTGCTCCCTCCGCACCGGCCTACCACCTGCCGCCCATGAGTAACGTGCGGACCAAGAACGATCTGATCAATATTGATCAGTTCCTGCAGCAGATGCAGGATACTATATATGAAAACGACGACAATGTGGCTGCTGCGGGCGTTGCCCAGCCG